TATCAGGAGTGTATATATCAATTTGATATATTTATAGTGTATAATATATAATATATATATAGTATATATATATATATGTATTATATTATAAATATATATATTATAAATATATCAAATTGATATATACACTCCTGATATTATACTGACCAATGTGAAGGCTGCCGCACAGTCATACTGTGGAAAGAATAAACCGCATTTGTCTTTAACCCCGTCTCTTGTAGGGCAAAATGAGCTTAGCTAGTGCTCTGGCTGTTACGTAAGATTATGGGAAATGAAAGATTGGACAGACCAGCTAAACTGTAGTTTGTAGAGTAATATGGAAGTTCTTGCACATAATACGCTTGGGTTTTTATCGCGCTTATGTCCGTATAGCGGATTAAAAAGGTAAACATTACATCGATTGGTATCGAGTTGTCTTCAACAGTGTTTTAAAAAACAAATTGTTGATATTAATCGCCTTCTGATTTCTGAGTAGAAATTAGATTGAAATTAATTTCATCTACATAAATGTATTATACTAACAGAAGGAAATCCACGATCGTCCCGTAGTTGCTTCTTTACAAAATAATAAAATAAATTGTTTGTGCATTTATTAGAGGTGATACGGAAAGTCCAGGCAGGACTGTCGCCGCCTCTAAGGCCCGAAATCGCCCCTGATGAATGGACACCACGCCTGACGACGCTCGTTAAAAACTGCTGGGCGGAAAATCCCGATCAGCGACCGTCATTTTCAGTGATCAAGTCTGAGCTCACGAACGAGATGATTAGGTATTGCACGCCGGCACGCACGCACGCACGCACGCACACACGCGCACAGCACAACCCAACACGGATTCCATCCATCGCACACGCACATGTTCCTCGCAAACATCATTGTCGGGTAAGACGCATGTTTCAGTTTATAGCAATCAAGATCAGCTTTACTCTCGCAAACAAACATCAACAAACTCTGCGGACTGTCTCTATCGGAACGAGCGTTTTAGAGATAGCATAGCTGGCAGAAACGGCTTTCTCAGTGACTAGCAATCGCGTCATTCACGAGCTCCGCACGTTTAGCATATAAATTTGCATACATGAATTGGGCTTTCACCTAGTATGAGATATGCAGTAATGACTGGTAAAATAAACTCATAGCGGTTGAATAGCCGATCGAAGTGGCCCAAGGATAGCGAGAACATGAGGTCAAATAAAACCAATGTGCCTAACCCTAACCCTAACGCCTAATTCTAACAATAACCCAACCCTAAACTACAGGCCTAACCCTACAATAACCCTGAATCCCACCCACCATACCATAAACCTAATTATATTGAATGATATTATATTTATCTTAAATATTGAATGTAATGACATTGCGTTTTAAATTGGGACCCATGTTCTCCTAATCGTTGAACCGATCAAGTTCAAATAATTTGATTATCCGGCTGACGCTCTTGACTGGCCGTCATGTAGCATTGATGAGGGGTTTAATTGGCCGACGGTAATTTCTGCCCGCCCTTGTTCCTCGCTGTGTCATCTTTGATTTCTTGCACAGCTGTAGTGACTTTATTCTCGTCCATACAGCACTGTTTAGACTTGATTTGGCGATGGCAGAAACTTCACGGTTGATTGAGCGTAGCATTGCACTTGTGTACCGGACAGCCATTTTGTGACGCTGAAGCACTGTAGCAGATTTGCTAAACAAATCCCAATTTTGCAGGCCAAAATGTTCACAAACTATCGTTTGTAATTCACTTACAATGTTTTTTGCCTGTACCTTGGGTGTTCATAAAAGTACTTGTTTATAACAAACACAAATAAAACACTTAATAATCACGTAAAATTACACAAACGGGTGCAGCTATGCAACGCAAACCTTCAGCATAGTCACGCACGTGACCCCCTTCATATGAAAATGTCAGTGGCCCGCAAAACGATAACAACCATGCAACACTAGCATATTTAGCTGTTACGCTATTAAGCTATTTATGCCTGCAATATCGTAAATTATCAAATAATGAATGAATGAATGTATGAACGAACGAATGCATGAATTAATTAATGAAGAAACGAACGAACGAACGAACGAATGAACAAACAAACAAACAAACGAGCGAAGTCCATGCTGAACTTTCAACGTCGATCGTCCCCCTCCCCCCCCCCCGCGTCGTCGGCGGGGATCGAGCGACGAAGGCGCCACCTACCCTTGACGTGTCGATCTCGCTGACTAGCGCGTCTCTCTCGTGGCCCAGCAGCTCCCCCTTCTCCACGGCCTCCTCCACCGCCTGCCGCAGCCGGAAGTTGGACGCGTTCTGCGCGTTTAGCTCGGTGATGTTACGCGACAGCTACCGAGAGACGGAGCAAAGATGGTGAATCAGACGTCGCCACGGCAACGAAGCCATACAGATGGTATAATCACAATAATACAAGTATAATGATGTTACGCGACAGCTGCCGAGAGACGGAGAGTATATTCACGATAATACAAGTATAATGATGAAACTGTATCAGTCTCGCTGTCATCACGAGAGACATAGTTCTGTAGTTAGAGAGCAGGCAGCATCAGCGTCGCCATGACAAAGAATACAAAAACTGATGTTTGCTAGTGTGGCTCAGCAAACTGCAGTGGGCCAGCTGAACAACCGGCTCTTAATATTTTCTTACAACTTTCTTTGGCTTTCACACAAAGTAAAGTGGCTAACGCAAGCGACCCCCCCCCCCCCGGTCGAACTTCAGAGAATAAAGGACGGAAGCTTCAGAATTCAACCGCCGGCATCGGTTTCGTCGATCGCACGCGCCGACTTTCGGGAAACGGGCGCGTGACGAGAGATACGGGGCGTGGCTTCGTGATTCCGCGTCGTCGGCAGCGCGCGCAGCATCCCTGCCTACCTCCTCCTTGAGACAGATCGTCTCGTTGTCGGTCATGTCGAGACGCTTCTGCGCGTTCTTGTGGTCGATGGTCGTCGTCGCGTGAAGCTGCTCCAAGTCTGCCAGCTGTCAACAACACGGCATAACGTTACAAGGTCTGAGCACGTCACAATCTTACAAGAAGAGAGAGAGAAAGAGAGAAAGAGAGGGAGAAAGAGAGAGAGAGGGAGAGAGAGAGAGAGAGAGAGAGAGAGAGAGATAGAGAGTAATTATTTATCTCTCTCTCCTCTCTTCCCCTTTCTCTCTTTCTATTACTAATAGAGAGAGAGAGAGAGAACGAGAGAGAAAGAGAGAGAGAGCGAGAGAAAGCTAGAGAGAGAGAGAGGAGAGTCGCGCCGACGTCGCAAGTCCGTACCTGCTGCGTGAGCTCCTCCGTGTGATGCTTGTACTCTGCGAGGATGTCATCCCTCGCCTCCGCCTCCGACGCGTGTGCCTCCGCCAGCGTCCGCAGCTGCTGCTGAGCCCCATGCAGCTTAGTGTGCGTGGCCTCGCGTGCAGCGACCTCTCGGGACGCTGTCAGCTGCAGCTCCCGTATGTGCGCCTCCAGCTCATCCGCCCGGCGCAGCGCCACTTGCCTGCAACACGGGAAAACACTCGCGCGTCAGTGTCGCGGGAGGTAGGGAGTTCAACAGTCTTCACGATTCGGAGCATCGTAATTGCACCTACAGTACGACCTCCTTTATCCGGCCATCCGTTATCCGGAAATCTCTATTAACCGGCCGCGATCTCGCAGTGTATGTTCTGTTTTTTCATTCATTTCCACCTAAAAATCTCGCTCAAAACTCGCGCGATGTACCAATGATTCTCGTGCAATGTACACATTGATTATCGTAAGAGCGCACAGCTATCACATGCACAAAACAAACACACTTACCGTAAGAGCAAACGCCTATGTACATGTACATGTATAAATATACGGCAATATTAATACGAATATTTCACGTATACATACTCACTTGTTGATGCTGTAAAAACTACCAAGGAATAAAAGGTATATACATTCAGGAGCGTATAATGACAAATTTGTCATTTGTATTTGTGTATATATTTGTGTATTTGTCATTATACGCTCCTGATACATTGTATACTATATGAATGAACAAAAATGTGTGTGTTTGCATGCGTGCGTGTGTGTGTTGTCCGCTATGCCTCCGGACAACTTTCGTCCGTTAACGAACAACTTTTACTAGCGGACGTTGGCGAAACTCGCTACCTCGCTACGCACTCGCAATCGATCGAGCCCCGTACTTCAATCAAAGGCGCCGCTGCCGCCCATACAACGTCGCGAGTGTATCGATCGTTACAGCCCTAGATCTCAGCACAAAAGAAACAAACATAAACCGAAGTGGTAAAATTTCTGTTTCATATAATTTTATTTCCATTTCATATAAACCATAAAACACGACAGTTTGTTACAAATAATCAATCGTAGCAACGAGTAAATACATTATCACATGCATAACCCCTACTGAACTGCATAGAAATGCTGTGTTTGAGCATAACTCTCATATCCGGCCAAATCCCATATCCGGATGGCCGGTCCCGACGTGGCCGGATAAAGGAGGTCGGACTGTATATATATATATAT